ATAATGATTCAAAAAAAAAAGCTCTTGTTGATCTCTTCGGGACCCGGGAGTCTCATACATATAAAAGCATTATTTTAAGTGTAAATGTTTTATATATGATGGACATTCATTATACACAAAATATGCCTTATCAAAACCTTATTAGAAAAACCCCTATAGGAAGAATCCTAATGAAGGAAAATTGGTACAATATTCTTTTAAATATGCTACAAAATTTGTCTCATTAAAAATCTTGTTAGGAAAACCAATGGAACAAAACCTTAGTCAAGGGCAAAAAAGTACAAAGCGCATTTATTCCCTTTCATGATAACATTACTTGAATTATATGCTTCAAACATATTAAATTTTTCAATGTAACATTAATAGCAATACTAGATGAGTTGGCTCTAATCAAATTTATAATATGCATATCAAAGTCCATACATTGTCAAACTAATAAGATAGAGATTTGCTATTACATCTGCCACATGATAATTTATCTATTTATACAAGTTTTAGTAAAATTTATTATGTAATGAGTCGTACATTTTATATTACGACTTTACTTTTTTCATTTTCATTTAGTATAAGTATACATTTTTAGGTGTTCAGATCATATAACTAGAAACTTTAGGTTTCTTTGGTAAGTTTAGTTTTACTAGGATTACTTCCACTGAATTCAGATTTCTAGAGCAAATTTAATTTAGGATTGCATTATTTTTATTTGGTCAATTATTATTTTGATCGATATATTTTGAAGCATTTATTTCGATTCTTCACTATTCATAATATGATGCAATATATCATATGCAAAAATGTTTTTGACAATTTTTTTCATTTTTCGATTCTTTTTTTTTTTTTTTTTTTTTTTTTTTTTTTTTTTTTTTTGTAGTGACATAACTTATTTAGATATTTCAATTTTCAACATATTAGGTATCTAAACCTCTTTTGAAATTTTATTTTTTTTATGACTAAATACTCATCAAGAGTATATACCTCCTTAATAGAGACCATCTTTGCTAATTGCTTCTCTCTTTTTTTGAAGATTTTTTGTATTAAAATCGAATACATCACGCTTCAAACATACTATAAATTTATCAAATATAATATTAACGAATTGTTCTTCTAGGAGTTATTTCGAGTTGGAGCATTTAAAGTTGATATGTGTGATATTTTTGGTATCTTTGATCAATAAATGCATCTAAATATACCATCTTTCGAACTTTTGGTTTTAATTATCTTCTGCGAAGATTATAGATAATGATATATTTGCATATTATTCTCAGCTTCTTAATTCCTCCTTTGATGCTGAGATAATTATCCAATCAAATTGACAATAATTTTTACTATTTTATAAAATATCACTTGCTTGGAATAAAGGTTTGAAATATGCATTTATTCTCAATATTCTTTATTTTTCATCGCAATGCATTGTAGTAGATGTATTTTTTATATCCTAAGTTATCAAAATAATTAGATGAAAAAATTATGCTCTAAACATAAGCCAATTATAATTGGGAGAACTATGATGTTGGTATGATGCGTAGTAACATTCTATATATAGAAATAAAAAGTACTTTATTCTCAACTAAATTAATAGGAGGTATTTAACAAGCAATAATGTTAAACTATTTAATGATATCTCAACTAATATTTATTAAAAATTAGAAATTTAGAACTACTAACATTAGCAAGACATGTCGTCTTGATTGTATAATTTGAAAATTATGTTCATAATTTGAACAGTATTTTCGCAAACTTCAGATTACGAAGACTATGTAATCATCTAGTATTTATTTCAAATCTATTAGATTCAAACGATATCTATATAACCAACGTGGAAGGTGACAATGCTATATATACCACCCTAATTAATTTTTAGAAACAAAGGGAATTCAGTCATGTTCTAGCTAGTGATATTTAATGATATATTGTTGATAAAGAGAACAAAAAATATATAGGAATTCATTGGATTGAAGAATTTTTATTTTTATTTTTCTTTGAATATCCATTTGGATTTTTAATTTTGCATCATTAATGATCCAGTGATGGTACAACTGATATTGCCAAAAAATAAAATCAAATTAACTTCTAGTTCAATATAAAATATAATTTAACTATTTAATTTCGAAAATATGATTAAACATTATATAATTATATATTATTCAAGCAATTAAACTAATCTATCATTGTGGCTTTATTTATATATTTTTCTTCAGAAATAAAAATGAATTCAAAATGATACATTCTTTGAAACATGTGCTACTTTGACAGCACATTGTATTTTATTATTGTTCTTTCAAAAGTAATATACCAATATTCGTCTGGAATCTTGTAAATTATAATTCATGATCTTTAAGAGCTATAAATTAATATTTTTCTTGAATATTAATAATATAGAAAATTATTTTCTTTTAAAAATTACAATCCAGTATTTAGTTGTTTAATTTGTATGTCTTCAAAAATATAATGAGCTAGATATTATTTGGGGACGTTTTCTACTTCATGAGCAAGTAATATTTTCGAAAGATATCAATCATAATGTCTTGTTACTTCACAAACAACAAAAAACCATTATTTAGAAACTTCAACTCTTCAAGAGTAAATTTTCTAGTAGAATGTAATATTTGTAGAATTGTACTATTTAGGAGCAATATGTTAATATTTTTCTGAAATATTGAAAATTCATTCTCTTCAAAAGTAATAGTACAATATTATTTTAAATATTGTACGTGTGAATATATCTTTTTTAGGAACAACAAATAATGCGAACGTAATATTCATCTTCAACAATATTACAATTTCTTCTAGAATATTGGTTAAGATTATTTTCTTTCACAAATAATATATAATATTCTTCTGAAATATTACAGTAGATAATTTGATTTTATCATTGATTAACCAAATAAATGCATACTGGTGTTGTCATTGAATTTACATAAAATTCATGCAAATAGGATATATGAATAGGATATAGACACAGATATTACATACATACAAAATAATGATGATTTATAGTACAATAAAATAATCATGATTGATTAGTACATGCATTAGTAAAATAGACACGAGAACGACTATGCATAAATCTTCTATCTATGTGTTTGCTTATTTCCATAAACCAATACAGAAGCAATAATTTGATGTGTAAATAGATAAACATGTCACCAAATTAATTTTGGTATGTGCGATAGATGATTATGTTTATAAAAATTATTACCTTTTAACTAACTCATTTTGATTTTTAGAAACTCGTGCTAATAACATGTTATAAACTAAAGAGAAATAAAAGAGAGAAGTCAATAAACTTGTGTATTAAGAGCCAAAACTCCATATTTATAGTGAAGAATTAGGATTATAAGGGATACAGACTTATTTTAAGTAGGAAAATGTATAATAAATAAACAGCCCCTTTTTTGTTCCTATTGATTTTAATAATATAATTTTCTCTCTTCCCTCTGTCTCTGTCTCTATGCATTTTATTATTTATTCCAATTGAGAACACACTCGTGTGTTAATTGAGAACGCAGAAATTCTCCCGAGGTACAATTCTCACTTTCTTCTCTTGGATCTTTCATTACTTTTCGGCTAAAATATTTGCGGTTTCATTGAATTCCTTTCATATCGTTCCTCTGTAACAGATTTTCAATTCCAATTTTGATTAGGATTAAACCCATCGATTAATTCTTTACATTTTTTCGTAAGACCACCATTTCGGATAAAACTTTTGGAATTTTTCGTGTTAATATCCATCCAGATCTTTTTTTTTTTTTCATTTGATTTATGCGCAGAAATTCAGATTCTTATAATTTGATATAATTGTTATGTTAGGAATCAATTGTGCCGTGTTATTTGGTGAAAATAACTACAAATGATAAGGGAATGAATGATTCTTAATCTTTTTGGTGTGTAGGATATTGAGAAAGACGATTTAATAATAACAGCGTATTAACAAAGCAATGAGATACAATCAATCCGCACTGGGGCGGCCATCTTCAGGTATGGTTTTATGTGTCGTGGAAATCAACCAGTAATGTGACTACCAGTTCAAATTGCAATAGTTTTCTTCCCCAAATTTGAGTTGAGTTACTTAACTTTGCTAGTAAAAACTGTCCACAGATGCGATCTGTATGAAAAGTTATGGAGAATTTTAGTTTTTGACTTCTGAAATCGCATCCGCCGATCATGGAAAATGGTGGTTGTTTGATACCATGCATCCATTGTTTAGAAGCCTTGAGTTCTAGACAAGTCATTTATTTGTAAGAGCCACTTTGTATAGAACTCACCCTTAAAATTGGCTTATAGGGGAGAGTGTCCAACGTGCTCATAAATTTACAAGTCATGCATTTTACGAGCGATTTGGGATACAATTTTGATAGTTATATTGCAATTATTTTTTCTGCCATGCTTTAGGCATTGGCTTCCGAGTTCTTGATTTCTTTTGAGTTGCTCCTTATTAGCCGATTTGAGGGTGAGTTTTGTATGCCAATTCACGTGCACTCTGTGAGTTTGTGGTAGTTTGCTTCACTTCATGACAGATAGCTAACATGCAAAAGCTGATCATTTAACAAAACTAGTCATCGCCACGTGCGTTGCACGAGCTTTGTATTTATTCAGTTTTTATTAGCGTATAAATTGTAGATTTTTTGAATTATGGTAAAGGAGTTGGAGATGCAAACATTTATATATATATATAAAGAAAAGATAACACATTTACATCAATTTCTGCAAAATATAACAAAAAAATTGTAACATGTTAATATGCCTCACAATAAACTCTATCACAATTACCAAATTAAAAAACTGGAGGTTACATGAAAAATGGAAAATGCATTTTTCCATCTAAATTCTAAATGCTACAAAAATGATTTTGAGATTTTAGTTTGCAGATAATACCTCAAGAATTGAAGTAAACTTTCCTGAGCAAAAAGAAAAAATAAATAAAAATTTGCACAGCAATGCTCCGCACTTTGTTTAGAGTTGCTCTACACTCCAAACTCTCCGAACTCTCTTGAGAGTTTGGTAGAGAGTTTGGACGCACAAATCGTTTTGTGCGAAGACTCCATACACGCACAATGCAGAGAGTTGGAGAAAACTCTTCGCACAGCACGAAAAGTTTTTATTTTTTATTTTTTATTTTTTTTAAGCTAGCAATAGAATGGTTGCAGATGAAAGTAATAATGAAAATAAAAAAAAAGTTATATCATAGTTATGAAACAATAAGTGTGAACCAACCATAAAATTAGTAAGACCAAATGCTCTGTATTCCAACAAAAATGAATTCACCAAATTAACTTCAATTTATACAACTAAACTAAGATCACGCTAAGGCAATACTTTACACGAAAATAATTAATCATAAGGCCTAAACAAGAAACACATCCGCACACAACTGATAATTATTTTAGTAGAAAAAATCAATTTTCCATAGAGAGAGATGATGATAAGAAGATGAAAGCTAGCAAGGACAATCGAGAGAAACTACACCTATCTAAACAAAATTCATTAAAGAAAAAACTGAAGAGAGAGAGAGAGAGAGAGTAAAACTGACCAAAGCCGAAAACTACCTCTCTGCAAAACAAAGAAATAGAATCATTCAACTTTACAACAAACTAAAATATACATTTTCAATACAATTTGGAACAAAATTTAAATCAATTCCACAAAAAAATTACGAAGAAAACACTACTAACCATGTAAAGCCCTTTTCATATTACATAAAAGGAAAATTGGAAGCAGCAAAGGATTTTTTTTTTCTTTTGGAGAACGGATGGAGAAGGAAAAAAATATTGCCTTACTTCATACTTGAAAATAAGAAGTATGGTTGCTTCTGAAGTATGGTCGTCGAAAATAAGGAGCATGGTTGTAGGTAAAAACCAACATGAGCTAAAGAAGAAAAAGAAAGGGGGGAAAAAAGGGGGAAAAAACAACTTCAACAGTGGAATGAGATTACTTTACTGTTCCTTGAACAGTGGCTACTCCTTCCCGTTTTAAAAGAGAAGTTAGAGTTAGAAACGAAATGATAATACCCTCTAAAAAAAATCAACCTAGAACCACACAATAAAATCAAACCAACATACATTTAATTCATAGCAAAATTCTATATTTACTTACTAAAAACCCTTGTTTCAATAATTTAGATTCAAACCTCTGTAAAAAGAAAACAAAAATAGGGAAAGCGGGGGAAAAAAAAAAGAAACTGCTATCGCAAAAACAAAAAAAAATTGCAAATGTTGTGTATTGCACGAATTTTGTATTTATCGTATTTTTATTAGCGTATGAATTTTATTTTTTTGGAATGTTTTTGAAGCAATATCTAGAAATATTTCTATGATATAAGAAAATAATTACAAATTATTTTTACAATTGCATAATAGTATTGTGTCATCTAGAAAAAATATATTTGTATATTTCATACTTGAATAAGAAATATACGAGGTTATGTAAACTATTTTGTCTGTATTCTTTGACAGCATTGATATGATTGAGTTGAATGTGAAGATTATATTTATAAATTTTGTGTAAATCAATATTGAAAAATTGAAGATTGAGCACAAAGTTATAAATTGACTTGCATATTCTGATATTCATATGCGTTTATATTTTGTGCTTCATATATTTTAATATTTATTTTTTGCTTATGTTGAAAAAATTAAAATCTAGAATTTTTTTTGACATTCGGTTTGGTAAATGAATGTACAGTGTTCTACATTCTCGATATTTGTAAATGCAAAAGTTGGTATATGAAAATACGGTAAGATGCATATACGGTAGACATCATATACTGTAAACCGCAAATATGGTAAGTTACTTGCAAATACGGTAAGCTGCAAATACGTAAACTGTCCGCAAATACAATAAGTTGTCTGTAAATATGATAAACTGCATATACGGTATATTACATTTACGTCAATTTATAATTTGTTATAAATGTATAATATTTATTTAATATTGAATTTTTTAAGTACTAAATGTTGTAATTCAATATTGTTTTATTTTTATATAATTGTATTTTCGGGAATAGGAAAAAAGAAGAAGGGTGGTTATGAAATTGTTAAATTTTAAATGTATTTCTTTGTTGAAGATAAATTTGATTTTTTTAATATTATTTGTAAAAAAAAAAATTTATTGCAATTTTATTAATGTAACAAAAAGATTTATTATGATTATATAAAAAAATTTTAACACTAAACAATAAATCCATACTTTGAATCCGCCAATTTGGTGAAGAATTAGATGAAATACATGTGAGAGTTTTTGGAAAAAAGACAACTGCAAAAGTTTTATTATATCAATAATGCATGTCACATTTGAATAATAATGTTAATTTTTTTAGTATCATTCTTTCTTTTTCTTCTTCACATGTTTTACTTTTTCATTTTTGTCTTCTTCAATATGTTTAGATGCTTTTATTAGATTCTTTTGTTGTTTAGCAATGATTCTTTTTTTGAGAGTTTTTTTTTATTATTATATTGAAGTTAAACTTATTCTTGTAATTATATTTTTTATTAGATTTAATGCAAATTTTGAATTAATAAAATAACAAACTAGTATTTAGGTTGCATGATTAAAAAAAAAGAAAAAAAGAGGAGAAAATCTCTTTGTACTACGCGGAGAGATAAACTCTCTCCATGCTCTCCGCACAATACGAAGAGATGGTCTGTCATCTCTTCACACAGTGCGAAGAATTTTGTTTTTCTCTCCGCACAGTCTGGAAAGTTTTTGTTTTTCTCTCCGCATTGTGCTGAGAAATCAACTCTTTCTGCACAGTATGGAGATATAGTTGGCCATCAACTCTCCGCACTGTGTTGAGAGTTTTTTTTTTTTTTTTTTTTTTTTTTTTTTTTTTTTTTTTTTTTTTAAAT